TACAGGGTACAGGTGCAGGGTACAGGTGCAGGGTACAGGTACAGGGGACAGGTACAGGTACAGGGTCACACGGGCAGCTCTGGGACCCTCACATTTTGGAGCATTTCAGGAAGAGCTGGGAGCTCCCAGCAGCTGGTGGAGAGGAGCCCAGGGTCAGCAGTGCCCACTGTGGTCCCTCTGTGCAGGACTGGCACCCAGTGCTGCCAGCCCCTGCCATGCCAGCCCCTGCTGTGCCAGCCGAGCAGAGAGATGACATTTCCTCAGGCAGGGCTGACAGAAAGGGCTTTTCCACATCCCCCCAAGTCCAGCAGGATCCAGATGTGTCCCTGGTTGAAATCCCTGAGCTCCAACACCAGCTCTTTCCACTCGTGGCCCACAGAAATGAATGTCCCAGGTTTCCAGCCTGTCTGTCCAGGAGCTGGTTTTTTCATGCTGTTAGGAGTTACCCCGAGAAGAAAGATTTGAGGTAGTCTGAGTTCGGCCAAACCCTAGCCAAAGGGTTAAATCTTGGGATTTAAATGCATCAAAAATAATGTTTTCATTGTAGTGTGAGTCATCAGTAATTCTATAGTGTTTGTGTTCTTTTTATTGTGACCTTTCATCTCTGAATTCTTTTTCGTTTCCCTTTCTTTTTCTTTATTTCTCTGTACTTTTCCTTCCTTCTCTCCTTCCTTGCTTGCTTGCTTGCTTCCTTATCTTTTTATTTCTCTCTCTCCCTGTGTATCTTTCCTTTCTTTTTCCTTCTGTTTCTTCTGAATGTGTGCCTCTGTAAAATCTGTCCAAATATTTACAAAAGGAAATGCTGGGTTGTGAAACTGAATTCAGAGAAAATGTTACACATGCTGAAGAAATGCATCCAGCACGGTTTCCAAATGTTCCCACATGCATTTTTGTCCTGTGTCTCAAGTGTTGGGGCTTGATACTTCATATCTTTATTCAGGCAAAACTTGCACTGAAAGGGCAGCGAGATCCAGGCTGGGGTCTGTTCCAGTGGTGCCGTAATTCTGGAGTGGTTCCATTTGATTTTGGCCATGGGTGACTGGTTAAAAAGCCTGAATAACCAGTGTGACTGGGTAACTGGTTTGTGCAATGGGCCCGTTCCAGGCCAGGGGTTATCGTCACTTGTCACCGAGCTGGGACACGCTGGCATCGCTGTCAGGCGCAGCAGAACATCTCTGCAGCTCTGTCACCTCCAAAAACCATCAGCCCAGGCTGCACTGCGAGACCCCCGGTCCCTGGAGCAGCCAGGAGACGTCTCAGGTCCTGCTGAGACCAAAAAAACCCACACTCAGCTGTGTCATGATGAAAGTGCCATGAAGTCATTTTCCCAAGAAGTCCTTCATGCTCACACTCATGTCCTCATGTCCTCATGTCCTCGGACATGTTTTGGCAGAGAGCAGGGAACTGTTTAAGCCCCAGGGATAAAGGGAATCGGCAGTGGGTACCATCTGCTCTCAGAAAAGCGTCACCTCCCACCCCCACACTCCATGCTCATGTTTCTATTCTTACCCTCACAAAGGCATCCAGTGCAAACAGGGCTTGTTTTGGAGGAAGGGGTTAATTTTGTATTTCCTGGCTTTTGTTAGGGCAGGAAAGCGAACCCTTCATTCAAGGCCTGAGCTTCTAAAAGCCACTTCAGGCCTGTGTTGTATTCTGCTTTCTTGCATTCTTACTGCAGGTTTATTTAAGAAAAGAAAACAAAAATAAAGCGAGGAAATAGCCAGCCCAGGATTGTGAGTGATTAAGTACACACTGCCACATGTGATGAATTTTTTTCTTCCTGATTTACACCGGGTATAAACAAGACCAGATTCAAAAGTCTCACAGTTACATAAGTGCATCGAAAAGCAATTATCATTGTTGTGGAGGTAAATTCCCTTTGTGCAAAGGCCTCTGTGGGGTGTCATCCCTGCTCTGGCTCAGAGCAGCCAAGGAACCCGGCCCAAGCTCCTGGCTCATGTTCAATGTTTGTGTGGCGCTGGTTAACATCATGATGAGAAAAGTGGATGTCATTGAGAGCACATTGTGCCTTGGCTGGGTAGGTGGCAGGCCTGGAAATTGCTTTAAATTCGGGGAAAATTGAGGATGCTGGACTTGGGGGAATAAATATCTCTGTCTTTTAGATTTGTGGGACACTAAGGAGGGTTTAGTGGCACAGGGATACCTGTGAGCCAGGCAGGGAGTGGAATAGATGCTCTTTATTCCCTTCCAGCCCAAACCATTCTGTGATTTCTTTATTCTAAGGATGTTCCCAGTTCCTAATCCCACAGGGGTTCTCCTCTGTGGCTGGACAGACTCTTTGCCTCACCCATGCTCCTGCCAGGGGATGCCTTAAATCACTCCCACATCACTCTCCAAAGCAGAAAAGTGAAGCGATTGCTGGGTACAGACCCACAGAAAGCTCCGTGTCTGAGGTCCATTTCCTCCAGGAAAAATGATGAATACAGCCCTGTCTTGTGGCCATTTGTCGTGCTGGCTTGTGCTGCAAGAAGTTGGCAAAGAATCCATCACGGAGAATTCCTGCTGTTCGTCTCCTTTGAACGATCTGGGCCGGCTGGTGTTGGACAGATGATGTGCAAAGTCACCAGAGCTCGGTGGCACGGTGATATCACATCTTTTGAGATGCTGGCTGGGAACACATCCAGGGGTCTGCTGCCAGCAGGGGTGAGGTTCCTGTGGTGGGATGTGTGTCACCTGGCCAGCTGGTGGGTCCTGGTGGGTCTCTGTGCCAGTGGGTGCTGGTGTGATGGAGAGAAGTCATTTCCCAGCACCCAAGAGTGGGAGCGCTCCTCCCGCAATCTGCTTCCAGCCCACTGCCGAAAGAACAACAATAAATAAATGGAATGAAAAGTGCAATCCTGTGTTTATTTTAAAGGAACGTGTTGAAATAACAGATTCACTTTGAGGCTGCAGTTCTGGCAGAAAAACCCACTGCTCAGCAGAGCAGAGACAATCCTGTGGGTGAGCCAAAGCTGGCACTCGCCCACCCGTGCCCTTGTCCGTGCCCCCACTCCTGAATCCCTTGGGAACCTGGAAAACCCTGGAGATCTCAGTTAGACACAGAGCCCGGCTGGTCTGAGGTGCTCAAAGCCTGGGGGACAGAAAATGTGAGGAGAGATGGTGGGGCAGGAGAGGGGAGAGGAGCCCTGCAGTGAGGGGTGGCTGGGCACAGAGGTCTCCTCCAAAAGGCACAGCTGGAGGGGGGAAGTGAAAACACAAAACTGAGGAATGGGGAGAGGAAAGAGCGGCTGGGAGCAGTGGGGCAGGGCTGGGGGAAGAGGAATTGCGGGGGGAAAGGGATGGGGAGTGCTGGGGACACACGGAGGGGACACACGGAGCAGAGCAGGGGAAGTGGCAGCAGCGCTGACTGGAAGCCCTGAGTAAGAAACACCCGAGTGGCTCGGTGGAAACCAGTCATCCACAGAAGAAAAAAAAAAAAAAGAAAACTTTTGGGAAGTGCTGATGCACCGAAGAGGGGGAGAAAAGAAAGACACATCCCACCAGTGCCCTGCCGGTTATTCTCTGGGGGAGTTCTCAGTGGGGAAAAGTGAACTTTGCCTGGGTCTGCTACGGTTTTTTTCCATATTCATGAAACATGATGGGAATGACTCTCAAATATGTGTTTACATTATAAATATATACACAAATATATGCACACACGTATATATTTAAGTGTGGGTTTGTCTGTACTTGCAGATATGCCTATGCATGAATACAAATATATGTATGTGTATGCTCGTTCCTTTATACATCTATTTTAGGGGAATAATCACGCCCTCATCCAAAGCTTCCCCCACTGCTGCTCCTTGCCTTGAATTCTCTGGGAAAGGAGGGAGCAGCCAGTGCTGGGGGTGGAAGGATAAAGGGGCAGAGGACAGGGACAGCTGGCAGGGAGGGGACCCAGCTGTGGTGGGCACAGAGTGGAGGAGTGTGAAGGCGAGGGTGGATGAGCAGGTGTGGAAGCACAGAACAATTCCACTTGGAAAACACCCCTAAAACTGAGTACAACCATTAAACCCCACTAAACCATGTCCCTGTGTCCCCATGGACCACACACACACAGAGTACATGTGTGTACATGTATGTATGTACATGTATGTACATGGGGTATTTTAGGGAGCCACGGATTGCTTTGGGTTGGAATGAACCTTAAAGATCATCTTGTTCCATCCCCCCTCCTCTGCTTCCCGTGCTGGGGATCAGCCCTGGGCATGGGGGATTTCTTCTGCTGAGATTTATATATAAATATATATATACCTCCATACAGATATACACACATATAAATATATATAAATATATACAGATATATACACATATGTATAAATATATAGACACATAGATACATACCCATAAACACACCTATACATACATATATATGTATATAAAAATGCACATATATACATATATGTATAGGTATATGTATATGTACGTATGTGTTATACATACATACATGCTATAGGTGCATATATATATTTATAATTAAATATACATTAAATTATTATTATAATGCATGTTTTTCTATTTTAAGATATGCAGCTATTTTTCTGTTTTAATATTATATATATTTGTATATATTTTATATATTTCTATTTCCATTTATATTTATATTAATATTTATATTTATATCTATATCTATATCTATATCTATATCTATATCTATATCTATATCTATATCTATATCTATATATCTATATCTATATTTATATTTACATTTACATGTATATTTATATTTACATTTACATTTCTATTTCCATTTATATTTATATTTATATTTATATTTATATTTATATTTATATTTATATTTATATTTATATTTATATTTATATTTATATTTATATTTGTTTATAGATATTTATTTATAGATATTTATTTTTATATTTGGGTATATTTTTTGGATATATTTTTATTTCTCTTTCTGTAAGCATTTATTTCCCTGGGGGGTGTGTTGTGTTGTGTCTGTGCGCGCACCCGTGTGCACAGGTGTGTATCGGTGTGTCCAGATGTGTCCAGCTGTGTTTTTTGGGGGGGGTCACACACACCTCCCCGCGGCCCATGACGTCACGCCGGCGGGGCTGGCGCGCGGCCAGGNCCCCGCTCCCGGCAGCGCCGATTCGGGCTGCAGCTCCTGCGGGACCCCGCTCTACGACCAGGTGAGCGCCGGGGGGACAGCGGGCGGCGGGGCGGGCGCTGCCCCCCAGCTCCGGCCGGGGGTGACCCTGCCCTTCCTTTCTCTTGCAGGGAGGGCCCGTGGAGATCCTGCCGTTCCTGTACTTGGGAAGCGCCTATCACGCCTCCCGCAAGGACATGCTGGACGCTTTGGGGATCACGGCGCTCATCAATGTCTCGGCCAACTGCCCCAACCACTTCGAAGGGCACTACCAGTATAAAAGCATCCCCGTGGAGGACAACCACAAGGCAGATATCAGCTCCTGGTTCAACGAGGCGATCGATTTCATCGGTAAATGAGCTCTCTTTGCTGTCCGTGCTTTTTCTGGGTTAAAGTCCCCTGGGAAGCGATTTTTGGCATGGTTTTTTCCCCGGTAAAACCTCCACTTGAGATTGGGGAATAGCATTCCACTGGGAAGATACACTCGGGAACATTTCCATTAGTTTAATTCTACTCAAAGGCATAATCTCAGCTTCGTAAAGCTGTTTGAAATCTTGATTCAAGAGGCACTGGTCTTGCAGAAAAGAGTGAATTTAAGCGGATCACTATTAAAGTAATCTTGCAAGACTGCTAAAGTGACCTGGAGGAGCTATTAGGATAATTGGAATTGGAGCCCAGAGTGAAAATAGCTGCTTTCCTCAGGACAAAGACTCCCTTTGTCTCAAAAGCTCCGAGTGCACCTATTAGGCTAAGGAAGGGATGGATTAAAGGAATGTAAAACAACAGTCTGTGCTTTTCCCACCTCTGGAAGCAGCGAGACTTGTTTGCTAACTGTTCACTTTGATTCTTTCAGACTCTGTGAAGAACGAGGGAGGAAGGGTCTTTGTGCACTGCCAGGCTGGCATTTCCCGCTCAGCCACCATCTGCCTTGCTTATCTCATGAGGACCAACAGAGTCAAGCTGGACGAAGCCTTCGAGTTTGTCAAGCAGAGGAGAAGCATCATCTCCCCAAATTTCAGCTTCATGGGGCAGCTGCTGCAGTTTGAGTCGCAGGTCCTCGCTCCCAACTGCTCAGCAGAAGCCGGGAGCCCCGCGATGTCGGTGTTGGACAGAGGGGCATCGACCACCACGGTCTTCAACTTCCCCGTCTCCATCCCAGTTCACACCACGTCCAGTGCTTTAAACTACCTTCAGAGCCCCATCACTACTTCCCCGAGCTGCTGAGAAAGCAGGTGAAGAAGGTGGCCAGGACTCAGACTTGCTGTCTCAGAAGTGCAATAACTACAGGGACAGTGTCACTTGTGTTTCGTGGGGAGTCATTTGGTGTCGTAGATGGAGAGGAGCTCACCCAATGCCAGAGAAACCAGGTGTTTCTGACTTCTCGAGCAAATGTCTGGATGTCTACACAGAGATCAAAGGACACTGGCTCTTCCTGAGCTGTCCCTCCTTGTCTTCTGTCTGTCCTAAGCCTGCTCCATGTTTAGTAGCATGCTCACCAGTATTCCCATTCCTGGACACTTTGAGCAACACTGATGCTGTCCCCTTTTATATGACAGTCCTATTTATTTATTTTTACATTAGTACATTGTTGTTGGGTTTTTGTTTGGTTGTTGTTTGTTTGTTGGGTTTTTTTTTTGCCTTCACAAACGTAAAGTTTCATTTCTAGAGAAACCAAATACCTCAGTATTTTTTGGTACTATAATCCTGTGTGTGTATATCTGTCAGCTCTTCTTGTTTCCCAAGCACTGACATGAAAGCACCAGGCGAGTGCTTTTTTTTGAGTTGCCAAGGGTTGTATGTTTGCTGATTTATTTATGATGTGAAATAATATATTTCTTCTTATGAAGACATAGTTTTGTTACATGATTATAACTTTTTTTTATACAAATGGAATAAATTATGATATTTCTATTCATCTGGGTTACATGTTCTTTAAAATACTGCGTTTCACACTCCCAGAACTCGTGTGGAATCTCCAGGGTGATGAGCTGTAATTTTCAACTCTCCTGGCCTCGGGTCTTGACTGAGAAAAATGGGTTTAAACAACATAATTGACTAGAAACTACTGCAGGTTCTTAACCTGAGCTTTTCTTTGTCCCCATGTAATTGTGAGCAGTGGCAGGGAGCCAAGGCTGCCTTCTCAGCTGGCAGTGGATTTGGCTGCCCTGATGGCTGTAACAGTTTGAACCAGCTGAGACTCGGGCCCTGAGCTACAGTGAATTTAAAATAGTCCTTCTCCTAAGAAGGAGGAATAAGCTTCCTTATTCCTTATTTACTTTTAATGCTTGAAAGGTTAAGTCTAAAAATTAACCTGTTAGTAACAGATCTCTAAGGCTTGGCACAAATTCTCACAGTGCTTTTCTTTTTCTGTCCCATCTCCTTAAATCCTTTTTGCAGCTCAGACTGCCTGTGCTGCCTGGAGTGAGGTATTTGGCTGGCTGGGCTATCTCTGTAAACAAAATCATGACAAGGGATCAGGTAACCAGCAACTCACAGATTTTCTTACCCAGACCCAAATAAATTCTTTTCTGCTGGAGATTATCACTAGAGTGACTGGGATCTGGTGTTTCTGTGAGTTTGGTGTAGCACAGCCAGGGGGGCTCCAACAGCAGCTCTGGGTGCAGGGGTATCCCTGGGACAGAACTGCACCTCTCATGGGCTCTGTGGGGCAGGACAGCATCCCTGCTGTGCCATCCCCTTCCCAGGGAAGCTGATGGGTGTGGGATGCAGCTGGTAGCTTGCTTTCCTGGTGCTGGTACCAGGGAGAGGGATGCTGAGGGAGCAGCAGGACTCTGGCTTTCCCATACTCCAGAAGGGAGCCTCCAGTTCTTGCATATCTGATACTCAAAGAGTCAGATCCAACTTTTGCCCCCAGCAAAAATGGTTTTGCTTGGGCACATGCAGCAGGTTAGGGCTGTAAAATCACGGAATTTGAGCAGTTGTGAACTTCAGCAAACAATTATTACGCTTTTTGCGAGCATCCAGCAGCTGTGCTCTCGTCACGCCGCGAGATGAGCAAAGCACCACAAACTCCTGCTGCAGTCCTGCAAGTTTCCTGGGGTATTAATGGTGCTAAAATCCGGAACTCTTCTCCTGGGAGAAGGTGCCCTTGAAGGATGGGATGATGCGCTGCTGCCTCTGAAGTTCTTCCACGTGAGCTGCCCCTCCGAAGCAGCTCTGTCGTCAGCAGCGCGCGTCAGCCCTCGCCAACTTTCAACCTGACACCGAGGGAGGAAAAAAAATGGAGCAGCTAAAAGAGGAGAGATCCCTGGGCACTGAGAAGTGAAGTTAGGAACTCGTGTTTTCCTGAAGTGTGTACCTGAACCTCAAAGTGAATATCCTCCCCAAAACGTGTCCTGTGCTGCAAATCCTGCAAAACCCCTTTGTCCATGGAAAATCCTTTGGCACGGATAACCTGCCACTGCTGTCCTGATTAAATATGCAAGGCTGTCTCTGAGCCTTTTTACACCTGCACTAAAGGGTGGAACAAACTTTCACCGTCAGAGCTTGCTCAGTGGAAAAATACAACCTTGGCAGCCCTGGCCATGCAACTGATAAAAAAAATCCTGCCTGTTAATCGCAATTCAAACAGAAATCCGCTCCCTGACAGCCGTGGGAGCTTGTTTATGTGTTTCTTGGAACAATAAAAGTCATTACCTGGCAGCAGATCAGCTTTTATAACCTAAGCAGGCACCTGACAGAGGGGTGCAGGAGAGAGCTGCTTCAGCACAAAGCCTGCTGTGAGCAGCAGTGCTCCCGAGAGCCACCAGCCACTTCCAGCCTGACATCCCCTGCCCTTTTCCAAGGCTTTATCAGGATCCTTCTGCTCTTCCCTGTAATCCGACTCTGTCGCTGCCCAGTCTCAGACTCCTGCAGGCTTTTTGTGGATGGGACTTTTTGCAAATAGAGCAAAGTGAGGCTGGCAAATGTCACCGCAGCGGGACAGCTCTGGGGGCTGGATGGGATCACTGGGGTTTGCTGGGAGCGGTGGGGAAGGAGCAGGATGGCTGGCAAGGTGAGGAACATTGAAGGAGGATGCCTTGGTGGCACAGCCGGGCTGAACTTTGTGGAAGAAACTTTACCTGCGAAAGAATCTTTACTTCCCACCCCTTATTTATTCTCCCAGCTCTGCTGCTTTGTTTGACTGGAATATTAAGGCACGCAGTTCACTCCGGTTTAGGGCTTTAAATTGCTATTTCTCTGGCTCCAGCATGAGTTGCTGTCCCCCTGTTGTAGCAGGACTCAGCTGAGACCATCCCTGGTATCCAGTCCCCAGAATCCTGGCTCTCAGCAGGCGTGTGTGGGGATTTCAGTCTGTATAAAGCCGGAGCTCTCCAGTTGCTTACATCCCCATGGAAACCACGAGGAGTTTCCCCTCGGCGAGGACAGCAGTAACATCACTTCCTGCTGCTGACAAACCAATTTGTCATGAAGTGATAAAAAGGCATGTTTTGTGTTTGCAGGAACTGGCTCCGGGCTTTGTTCCTCCCAAAGCAGAGGCTGCTCACCCGCCCCGAAGGCAAACAATGGCAAACATTGTGTGCCCTGCACAGCAGCCATGGGGACACACAGACGAGCCCTTGGCGTCCCCAAAACGCCACCAAAACACCCCAAAGCGAGCACGAGTCACGGCAGCGCTCGGCACAGCATCCACAGACGTGTCCCCACAGCCCAGGGGTGTCCCCACACCGGGACACAGGACAGGAACCCTGCGTGATGCCCACAGCAAGATGCAATACCCAGGGGACACAGCCTACCCGGTTATCACACGGCAAACAGCCCCAGAGCCCCAGATTAGACGTGTCTTGGGTAATCCCCTTGTCTCAAAGCTTCTGCCTGTTGTAATCAACCCTGGAGAGGTGCAGGGTGTACTCAGGTTTAGGGACTATCCTGAATTAGTCAGCCCAGGATCAGACTCGCAGGGCCACAAGGATGTGTGATGCTGTCGTGTTGGAACAAAGAACATGACATCCAGATCACACACGGGCAAATCTTGTTGGCCTGGTTACCACCCGGGTTTTTTCCTCTGCCTGGCTCCAGGGTAGCAGAAAGGGCACTGAGAGTTGTTTGGAGGTGATGTTTAAGTGCAGCCTCCTCCCCAAGTCCACAGTCACAGCGGGATGGGGAAGGAGAAAAGGTCGTGGTGTGTGACTGTCACGGTGTGGTGACAAATCATGACACCTCAAACCCCATCTAAACCTCTTTCTCAGCCTTTTGCTGGCCCAGCAGCAGTGTCTGTGCCGAACTCCCAGAGAGACTCTGCCCAGGGCTTTGGCTTCCCCAAATTCTGCTCCCATCCAAGGCTGGAGAGAGCTTGGGAGAACAGTTAGAACAGGCTCAAATCCAGTGGTGCTGAAATTAGCTCGGAGGTTTGTGCTGTGCGTGGCTCCTCACAACACTCTGTTTGCCACAGGGCAGAGCCAGAGGCCACAAATGATGGAGGCTGGCAGCCCAGGAGTGGCACAGCCCAGGTGGATCCTGCTGGGACCCATCAAGGTTATTGGAAGGTTAAATGGGACCAAGGTATTATAGGAGAGCCTGGGGAGAAGCAGAATTTTCTGGCATTGCTCTGAGGACTTGAGCTGCCTGAGGCTGTGGCCCTGAACAAAACCTCTGAGAGATGAACCCGAGGGGAAGCAGCTGAGTTGCTCTGCTGCTGGGCTGGGTGAAGGATTCCTGGTTTTGAGAGCTCTTTCCCACTTGGGAAGTGCAGTTATCCCAACCTGTGCCTGTCTGGAGAGCAGTGCCAAGATCCCACCTGGACCTGACACTGTTAGCCTGGCACAGCGTGAGTTGCCTCTGTTATTGTAACAAAACCAGCCAAAACCAGGGCAGAAAGCAGCTTTGTTTTTTGTCTTTATATGGTGTGGGCAGGCCATCCTCCAGGTGTGGGTTTGAATTTTGTTTTCCCTTGCTGTGGGAGTTTGTAGCTGCCCTGTGTGGCTGCTCTCCCTGCTGGCAGTGCCAGGCTGGCTGTGCTGAGCCACAAGAAGGGTGTGAAAAACCAGGTTCACATATTTATATGGAATTTAAAAGTTCAATAGAAAGACAATTAGGAGAAAAAAATAAAGTTTACAGATACAGCCGGGTGTCTCTGCATTCAGCCAGGAGAGCACACCTTACTAACAAAGGAATATCCCTGAAAAACAGAACCCTTCTGCATATTCATAAAATCTCATACAGCATTCAAACATTCTTCTTAAGTTTGGGATGTTTCTTTGTTTAGTTTTTAACTCACCCCCTTCCCAATAAATCAATCTTCTTGACTCTACCGAGTTTCACATTCTCTGATAACAGAAATGCAATAAATTCCTCCCCCAGAGCTCTGGTCATTGCTGTCTTCATTTGGATTAGAAAATCTAAGAATGGAGGGGGGGTCTCTGACCCTCTTTTTCACTCTTTAGGTTATACAAACAAAAAATAGTTTTTGCTTTAACACTATGCCATATGTCAACATATATGTATATTATACCACTATTTCTAAGTTTCATCTATAGCAGAAATAGAAGGAACCATGTCAACACAAGTTTTCTAACCCCATACATATCACCTTCATTTCAATATTTGCAAAAAGCCAATCATACAATACAATACAATACAATACAATACAATACAATACAATGCAATACAATGCAATATAATATAATATAATATAATATAATATAATATAATATAATATAATATAATATAATATAATATAATATAATATAATATAATATAATATATCTAATATAATACAATATATCTAATATAATACAATATATCTAATACAATACAATATAATGCAATACAATACAGTACAATACACAGTATTACAATACAGTACAATACAATACAATAAAATACAATACAGTACAATACAATACAATGCAATACAATGCAATAAAATACAATAAAATACAGTACAATACAATA